GGTTTTTATTTGTTGGTTTGCTTGTTTAAATATTGCAATTTTTCAATAAAACCAAACTTCACCAAAAAACCGCTAAGCAGCTGCATCTAAGATCTAGAAATCTGCTCCAAAGGAAGACACCTTGTTCCTCTCCCATGGCCTTCCACACGATGGCACGGTTGGCACTTGTACTGGGAACTGCCATTGTGCTAATCTGGTTTGGAGCTGCCTCCAGTTTTCAAATATATTAGCAGCAGCTGTGTGTTCTGAATATTGGAATGCCTCGTTATTCCATTGCAAAGGTGTGGCTTTATCCTTGTTGCTTGCTCCCGTGAGGAGAGAGATTATAAATACTGCTTATAAACAAAGAAAGAAACGGGATCAATAAGAGGAGGAGCAAGAGACAGTCCGGCCTGGTGGGGAATTTGCAAGCTGCCATTTGAATGCTGGGGAAGTGCAATTGCCTGGCTCATCAGAGCAAAAATCAAAGGAGCCAAACTCCAGCACCACATGGGTCTCTGTGGTGGGAAGGGAGCAGTGGGCTCCTGGAAGGAACAGATCCTGGAATTTGCTGCATAAGGACTTTTTCCGGCCCATGGATCAGTTTGGACACCCCTGCCAAAAACTACATTATCTTTTCTGAGGTGTGGTGACCAGGGTCATACACTGTATTCCAAGACTGGCTGCACCAAGCAATTTTACATGGGTGCAGAGAAGTAGCAGGCTGCAGTTCAGCTGGTTAAGCACATGGTTTACATGCTGCAGATCTCATCTCCAGGTAGGGCTGGGAAGAACAGTTTTCTGAAACTCTGGAAGGCTGCAGATGCCAGTCCATGTTTACAAAATTGCCCTAGATGGACCAAAGATCTGACTCAGCATGAGGCAGCCCCTGATGTACACACTGGCAGTTTTATTTTCCGTTCCTTTCTGCGTGTGCTGCATGCGAGCAAGTGAGAGAGGAGAGCGATACACACACATTGAGCATTTCCCTTTCATGGGAATCCTGAGTGCACACGCAACATTCAAGGTTGCTGCCAACAGTGCTTCCCATCTCTGTAGAGCCTTTAAGCATTCAGAGCAGCTTCATGTGTGCAGTAACCTCATAATCCTGCCAACAGCCCTGTAAGGTTGGCCAGCACGGTCCGATGCTACAGATAAGGGACCCCAGGCTGAGAAACGGAAGCTCCCTAGTGAGTTGGTGGCTGCACTCAGATCGAAAGAATCTCACTGCTCGTGCTCCCTCAGCCACTGGACTGATTCATCGAGAGCCTTTGCAGAACCAAGGGTCCTCCTTCCAATCACACCCCCTGCTTGGAAGTATCTCGAATTAAAAACGAAAAGCAGAACTCCTCTGATCCACAGCGGGGCTCCCTGGAGATGCCCATCTATGAAAGCAACATTTAATTAACTCTGCCCACAGGGGCGCAGCATGCTCATTAACCACCGAATGCCGATTTTAACAGAGCCTCTCCTCTGGGCTCCAGCCTGAAAGCTCGCTTGTTTGCCTGCTTGCTTTCTTCAGGTGCAGCTCCAGTGTTCCAAGCCAGAAACTCATAACATCGGAGAGACCATTTTCAGCACTGCTAGGAACAGGCTCCCACTTCAGATGGCAATCCACCTCAGGGATCCTTCAGAATTCCTTGCCGCAACACCCTTTTATTGCACTTGGTATTTTTAGCTCATTGTTTTCTATTTTGGCAGCTGAGAAAGTGCAGTTTGTAATTCTACCTCCAGTTTCATATTCCTTCTTAAAAGCGAATACAACATCCTGTTTATAATAATAAAATCACAAGTTGGCAGGATGACACTCAATGGAAAAGAGAAAAGGGGAGAGAGCGAGAGAAGAATAAAAGAGAGAGAGAGAGAGAGAGATTCAGAAAGCAAGTGGAAAATTGAGAGCTAGCAAATTTAGATGCCAAATTGCACATTTGCAACGGTCCAGAGGAGGTCAGCCGTCTTGCTCGCAGCTGAAGGCAAGGAACAGAGAAAGAGCTCCACAAACTCTCCCTTGTTAGGCAGGGCAAGCCATCTCCCTTCAAACAAGAGCCTTGCCCTTTTCAGGAACAGTGACGTGAGGCTTTTTCCATAGCTGTCTCCACAATGGGACGTGGAAAAGGCAACACATCCCGGACCAGAATGACCATTTTCTCTCTCTCCAGGATTTGGGGTTTTCTCCCCCCGCCCCATCACCACCACTATGGGAAGACTTTCCTGGCTGGGTTACTTGCCCCAGTTCAGAAGGAAGAGAAACAAAAAGATATGAATGAAATTAAAAACATTTGGACAAAGCCACAGAAGTCACTTTGGGGTTTCTTGGGTTTGCTTAGCATTTCCTGCTCCAGCATCACCCCTGTATCCTTGGCAGATATTTGCACTGCACTGTTCCCTTTGATCCTTTTGCTTTTCTCTTGAACTCTGTGCCATAAAACAGACACGGTTGGGTGGAGGTGGAGAGTCCAGAAGACGAAACAAGGCAGGCAGGTGAAAGAGACAAAAGGCAGTATCCAATGTTAGTCCTACTGACCACTAATTAGCATGGGTCTACTCAAAGTAACTCAAATACTTTGGCCACCCGATGAGAAGGACGGACTCCCTGGAGAAGAGCCTAATGCTGAGAACCATTAGATGACAAAAGAAGAAGGGGGCGGCAGAGGATGAGGGGGCTGGATGGAGTCACTGAAGCAGTTGGTGTGAGCTCAGGTAGACTCTGGGAGATGGTAGAGGACAGGAAGGCCTGGAGGAATGTTGTCCATGGGGTCGTGATGGGTCGGACATGACTTCGCGACTAACAACAACAACAACTCAGAGTAGGAAGTTCCTTGATAGGGATACTGCCCCCACCCCAAGCCATCCTCACCTTTAGCCCTCTTGACATGTCTGAAGTTGCAAACACCTGCCATCTTCCCCTTTGCTGAAGCTGTTAACTCTGGGGACTCATTAACCTTCCCTGAGGACCTAGAGCAAGATACATGGGCAGTGGTGTGGCCCTTTTAATGCTTTCGAATGCAAGAGGATCCGAGAAAGAAAACAGTCCATTCTTGAAGTCAGGCATTTCAGAGAAAGATATCGGCACGAAAGTGCTGACATTCAGTTCAGGAGAGAGTCAGCTCTCTTTCCTGTGGTCTGAATAAGGGCAGAGGGTGCCCTGGGAAGAGGCACCACACTGCGTGGGTGCACTGCCTCACGGCTGCCTGTCACAGCAGAGCTTCGTGAATGCCCATGATCACTGCCTGCACATTCTGCGCTTCGGCTGCCCCCACAGCCACCTGCAGCACGTGCCCGCACATCTGCCAGCCTGAGGTCCACACATCACACACTCGGAAGCAGCCAGTGACCATGAAAGCTTACGCCAGAAGACGCAGAAGCAGAGCGAGTCAGAAGGGGCCTCCTGGGCCATCTAGTCTGATCCCTGGCACAAGCCGGGTCAGCTCATATAATGCCCAAGGGTTAGGGTTAGTCTTTTGAGGCGTGTTAACATGGGTTGGTCTTTTGAGATGCCACAAGACCGCTGGTCGTTTTGGAAAGGAATGGAGAGACAATCCTATATTTCAAAGAGTATTGCACAGGTCAATGCTAAGGTGAGCTTCCTATCTTCATCTGAGAAGGTTTTAGGGGTCGAAGGAGGGAGCCGTGTTTGTGACGCCTGGAGGGCAGGGAGAGTGGCCACATCCAGCTCAGTGGCACGAGGGCCTTGGCTTGGAGATTCTCCTTGGAGAGGGAAAGTCTGCCTCTGGGTTGGCCTGGATGAGAATGCGGGGGGGGGGGGGGCACAGGTCTAAGTGAGCTCCCCTCCTTGTGTGTGTGTGTGAAGAAATAGTCAAACCTACCTTCTTTCATCCCACATTTCTCCCACGACTGCTCGACTTCGGCATGCAGGAAGGGGGGTGGGGCAAGTGGGGTGGAGGCTAGTCAGAAGAAGAAACTCATAGTAATATGAGCCGTCCTTGCCTCCCGAGGGCTCAGGATGAGAACAGGGCCTGGGCCCCTGCCTCTGCTGCAGGGTGTCCCTCGGACCGGGCACTGCAGGAGCGGCGTGCTGCGAGCACAGGCATCCCCACGTGCTGGGAGGACAGGAGCACAAAGGACCCCGACCCAGAGGCAAGCCTGCCTCTGCCTGCAGCGAGGGGGCCAGGCGGGGGCGAGTCCTCCGGCAAGGAGGATGGCCAGCCTCCCCCTCCTGCGATTGGGCATTGTTCCTTCTCCAAGCCCGAGCGTGAGTAAGGCACCACCACGTCCTCAAAAGCCTGTGCTGGGGCAGGAGACTTCTCTCACGAGCTGAGGCTCAGCAGTAACCGTAGGCGGCACTCCCACTGTTCTCCGTCCCAGTGCACAGGAAAGAAGCCCCTTGGTCTCCCCAGAGCCCCTTCTGCTCTGCCACAGGGCCTGGGGCAGGAGAACGGGCCCAAGCAGAGGCCGCCGAGCCAGCGAGGCCAGTGTTCACGGACTCGGAGATGGACCTTTGGTTTGATACAACAGGACCAGTTGATTAAGAGAGGGAAAGTACAGGCTGCCATCAGCTTCCATTCCTTAAAGCACATGAGCTACCAAAGCCCACAAGCAAGACTGAAGACTTCCAAGACTTCAAATGATCCTAGCTAAATTATTTCTTTCCACAAGTGCCATAAAATGTGTGCTAAAAGGGTGACAGTTTTATTCTTAAATGTGCCTGATGAAAGGGATTCATGCCACTGCGAATACCTCCTACTGCCACCATCACAAGAAGAACCATTAAAAACAGCACTGCCTGAACCTTTTGCATCCTCTCATTCCAAAAGCTGTAATAATTCATACTCTGAGGACAAAAAAAAGGCACTGCAGTTTCCAGGTTCTGAGTCATTTACTCAAAGATGTACTCTGTCCTCATAAGTCCTCTGAAGATAAAACTCCCCCATTTCTTCCTGGACTAAACGACAGAAAAATGGGCATGTTTTCCCTAATAAAGAATCCCCAATAGTTTTAACAGTATCCTGAGCTAATCTGAAAAGAGAGATGAAAACAGGAGGAAAAGAGACCCGAATTACCTTAAATCTCGTCTCTTGGCAAATTCTTCTGGGGGGATAACCCAGGGGAGGTTCTGGGGAAGGCACTGAAGGACCTCTGGAGAGAAGGCCGAGCAATCCACACCATATTCCATCAAGATGCCTTCCGTTTCTGGCTCAATTTCACCTGCCTGTCCAAGGCTTCGGGCCAGCTGCCTGTGGAAAACAGAAAAGAAGCACGGAGATATCACTGGCAGATCCCAACAGAGCAAGCCGGGGCTGTGTCAGCACCAAGCAAGAGAAGAGGTGGACAAAATGAACAGGGAGATTCACCTTTGGAGCACTTCCCGAACAAAGCCAGGTAGAGTGACAAGAGCTGGGCCAACATGACCTACCGCTAGAGAGAGAAAGGGCAACCAGTGGCCAGGGGGACAGTTTAAAGCAAGTGCAACCAGGAAGACTCAAATGCTTTGCTCAGCCACATGGAATACATCACCACAGGGTTACCAGCTGCTCGCCTCTGGTCTCCTGCTCATGGAAGCACGGCAAAATTGTAAAACAAAAGCGTCTCTTCTGTCGGACAAAGAAGAAATCTCTCCAGAACTCACAGAACCACAGAACAGCAGAGCCGGAAGGGTCTAGAAGGCTGTAGCCCTCCGCCCAGTGCAAGGACCCCCATTAAAGCATCTCTGGCAGAAGGCTGTCCAACAGCCCCTTGAATGCTTCCAGCGGGGGAGCATCCACCACCTCTCCTGGGAGGCTACCTGATCAAAAAAATAAAAATAAAAATAAGAGAGGGCTTGCTCTGCCCGTGGGACTACCAAGGGACATCCCAGTGCAGAAAGGGACGAGAGCAGCGCATGCCGCTCACACCTCATCCAGCCCCCTGGAGAGGCAATTCCAAGCCAAGTTCAAAGATCCATTCTAGATTCTTTCAAGAGCATTTTGCAAACACTGGAGGCATCCAAGATGCAGCTGGACAGCCCCTCTGGAAGGGATGGCTTGACTGGACATCCTGCACTGACCAAGGAGTTGCACTCGATGGCCCCTTCCAACTCTACTATTCCAGGATTCTAGATCAAAATCTCACAGAGACCTGCTTTTTTCCTATTTCGCTCTTAATCTCTACCCTCCTCCCCACCTGCTCTCCCCCTTTCCCACTTTGCTGACTTTTGAACCATCTGTACTAAATGCAGACAATTCAGGAATGACTGGGCCACGAAGAATCATGAGCCGGGTGGCTATGAGCTGGAAAAACTGGCTCCCAGCTCCACCAGGCACTTCTGAATCCAAGGAGCAGAGAAACCATGTAGGTGCAGGGGGTGCAGGCATTCCTTGACCCTGCGCCATTTTTGGTGGCCTCTGGCAAGCTTCAGGTATGCCCACAAAGGTGTCGGAAAAGGGCCACAGCCAAGGGAACAGACTGGCATTCCTGTTGCTCCTCACCCCGCCACCCACAGACTCGACGGACGTAAAGACATTCGGCACTGAGCAGGCCTGTGTCAGACAACATCCGACAGCCTTCCCCAGTGTGAAGCCCTCCAAATGTTTTGGACTTCAAGTCCCACCTGCCCCTGCCAGCATGGCCCATAATCCAGGACTGAAGTGTAAGGAAGGCACCACACTGGAAAAGTCTGGTGTGAGGGGTGCAGAAAAGAGGCAGGCAGGCAGGACTGATTCTTGGAAGAAAATGGAATGAACACAGCAGTCTGATGATAATTATGAGTCATTTAAAAATAAAAATTGTACTGTCATTAGCTTGCTGGGGAAATCGCCAAGACAAATGACAAACGATCAGGTTACAGGAAACAAGGGGGCTCCCAGGTGCCCTGCTGAACTGTCGGCATCACGCTGGGACCAGCAATTCGTCTACCTGTGCGCTGGCAATAGGCTGGATTCCAGGTTTACACTAGATCAGCGGTGCTGGTGCTTCCCCAGGCACTACTTTTCCCAGAAGGCCCTCCAGCCCCTGGGAACACGCCACACAGGGAGCCATGAGCCTCTGCCAAATGGGGTGAGCTGCTGTGTTCATGGGAGGGGGCTCCCCCAAAAGCAGGCATCCTTGTTTTGATCCCTCTGTAAGCACAAGCCTGTCCTGCACCGGCTCCTCTTCTTCCCTTTTTCCACGGCCTGCCCTTCCCCCATGCTGCTCGCTGTTCCAATTCAGCTCTTCCTGTAAAACCTCCTCTTTTTCCGGAAAGGCTTCCTTTGGCTCCCTCGCAGTGCATCAGGCCAGCAGGCCAGGGTGGTGCTCCAGGGGCCAGCCCCAGCTTCCAGCCCGCCTGCAGCACTGCTCCCGTGGCACCAGGAAAGCGCCAGTTGAGGGCTCCGCAACACCCCGACTTCTTATCTCTCACCGCTTAATCCAATTTATATTTGACAGATAATAGCCCTCATTCAAAACAGATCATAAAAGTAACACATGACCGGACAAATACTTTCTATTCACATCCTAGGCAGGTTTGCGCGGGACCACATGTGGCTGCAAGTGTGTTGTTCTGCTCACCCAGAAAGCCATGTGGTGCCCACCCACAGTGAGGAAAGGACCTCCCCATACTCAACCTGGCCCCTTAGCTGGCTTCAACCAAGGCAACCATCATTTGATCCCTGGTCTACCTGCCTGCCTGGGAAACCCCAGAGGCCCCTTGACCCAAATCGCTAACCACCGCAGTGGGGAAGGACTCAGACATTCTCCTGGGTCGAGAGCCCCCAGGCACCTGTTACTTTACAGTTGTGCCAGACCCTCACAGGAGCCTCCGTCTCTGCTACTAAACCCACCCATCCGGAGATCCTAGGAGGTCACTCAGCAGTGTGAGCCTCTTGGGATGGAGCAGTCCAACAGACCGACTGTTCCTACCGAGACACAGGAGGGCAAAGTGCCTTCAGAGAAGTGCATCTCAGAACCACCTCTGAGCGAAGTCCTGAGGGCAAAGTGCCTTCAGAGAAGAGCACCTCAGAACCACCTCTGAGCGAAGTCCTGAGGGCAAAGTGCCTTCAGAGAAGAGCACCTCAGAACCACCTCTGAGCGAAGTCCTCACGCCTCAGGGCGTCAGGCTCCGGCATGCCCTCGAGCCAGCACTGTCTGCTGAAGCACTGTGGGCTCAAACCTGTTCACCAGAAGTGCCACACTGGCAGCACCGCAAGATGAGGCAGCAGGTGGTTGGGTGCCCTCCAACCACCAAGGTATCTCCACCTGGCTGGTTCTACAATGCCTGAAGCCCACGTGGGCCTGCTCTCCGGTTTGGGCACCACGTCCCTTGCCCCTGCCCTCTGCCGCCTGGACTGATGGTGCCTCCCTCCTGACCTTGAAGAGCGCCTCAAGACCAGGCTCAAGGTCCATCCCGTGGGACACTCGCCCCTGTAGCTCTGACTGATTCCAACCACAGGAACCGCCACACACAAAGCTACCCTCCGGTGCACTTAATGCACGAACAAGCAGCACATCTCTGCTTCTCACCTGTTCTCTGCAGCTGGCCTCTTTCAGGTGGAAGACACTGTAGCCAGCAAGGTGAGAATCCCACTCCAGCCTGTCGAGGAACACGCTGGGATCCTCCCACAGTGTTTGCCGTCCTCCGTTACTTTCCAAACTTTTGCACATCAAGCAAACCCAGACTAACTGTCAGGCCAGGCTGACAAGGCAGCTTAGTTCAAACAAGACAGCACCTTGCTGTTGACCACCAGGTGTCACCCAAGAGTCACAGAAGGGAGCCCCCTCCCCTAAAAATACACCTTCAAAGTATTACCAGGCTTCGCCCACCCCTGGGTACAGCACCAGGAGGAAAGCCCGTTCTTCTCTGCTTGTTTCTGTTAGCAAGTGGTGGTAGCTTTGACAGGGCAGAGAGAGAAACCTGCAGCCGCTTGACGCCGGCCACCATTTCCAAGCGCACTGGGCAAGGACAAGGGGTGGCTCCGGAGCAGCCAACCCTCCAACACCAGACGCATGTCCCAACAGCCTCTCACAGGGCAATGCAATCCTGCGTGATCTTCTCGACCACCCATATCCCCATCAGCAATGCTTCATGCTGAGTCCGTCCGCATGAAAGAGTGTTGGGATGATGTAGGAGGGGCAGTCCCAGAGCCTTGCGGGAATCAGCAGCAGGGAGGAGGCAAAGCAGAGAGGTCCAAGACAGGGATGCTCGCATGGAGAGGAAAAGGCACTGGGGGAGACGCAGACAGACAGACGGACACACGCGACTGAAGGGCAACCACGCAAGGCTGCACAAGGAACCTCAGAGCAAGCCCTCGGAGGATGCAGAGTAAAAATCAGAAGGCCGAGGACCAGCAAAGCAGCAGACACCACCCCCCCACCCAGTACGGCACCAACTTGGCAAAACTATTGACAACGAGCATCGGTCTGTTGAGCAACTCTTCCCATTTCCTCTGTGCCGTGGCTCCTGGAAAGCCTGGGACAGAGCAGCCGGTGGGACGCAGGTGCGAGCTCTGACAATGATGGCACCCTTCATTACCTCTGCAGTTACGCAGGACTGCTTTTTAGGGGTGTCTCAAACATACGCAGGTATGAAGCTGGTTTGCAGACCACGAGTCCCTCTAGCCCAGCACTGCCCCAGGGAACGGGCAGTATCTCCAGGCTCTGAGCAGAGGTTCTTCCTAGCCCTGCAGCCACGGGGGCCACGGAAAAGCCCCAGTGGGTAGACAGGACCACTGGAGTTTATGGCAAAGGCACTGCTAGGCCACACCGCGCTATTACACACGAGTGAGATGCAGGGGACTTGGCCGAGGAGGTTCGGCGTGCGCCCTCCCTGGCTTCCTCTCCCGGGGTCCCCGTCCTGCCCACCTCGAGCCAGCAGCTACACACCCAAGAGCAAAATTGCTGTCCTCCCTCCAGTCCACAATACGGCAGATAAAGAGAACGCTGGCGTAGTCCTCGGGCCTGGAGGCAAAGCCTGCTGGGCAGTCAGTCAAGGGCACCAAGGCACGAGGCACTCTGTGGTCCACAGGCGAGAACATGGCGCACTTCTTGAAGAGCTCGCTGTTGCGGTCAGTCAAGAGCCGGATGAAGCCCGTCACGGCCCTGGAATGCTTCTTCTCCAAGATGTAGACAACCTGGGGAACAACGGTCAAAGCCGGGAGGGAGGCTTTAGGTGCCAAGCCGTGGGGTGACCGAGCAAAGCCCGGCGCACCTTCCACATCCACGGAGACCAGCAGCTGCACTGGATGTCGCGCAACCCTGCAGCTCACCTCATGCTCACAAGAAGCCATATGAGCCCCACGGCCCCCACCCAGGCCTGCTGGCACAGCTCCTACGGTCTCCTCTGCACAAGGGCGAGGAAGTCCCCACGGTGTGGGAGAAGAGACTGGTGGGCTTCTATGCAGCTTGCCAGGACCTTCAGGGCTGCTGAAACTGACACCCAGCAAGTCCCCCACTCTGGAGCCCAAGGCAGTAGACCTGGGGTGAGGCTGCCTTTACTGGATCCCTCTGGTTGGCCCCACGACGTGGCACCACTGCCAGCTGCTTTTGTACCAGAAGTGGTCTTCGGTCTTTGATTCACAGACTCATAAAATAGTGGAGTCGGAAGAGGTCAGAGGCCAATTTAATCTAAATTGTGTTTACATGATGTATATTAGACCACTTTTACGCTGCTTTGTTGTAATTCTAGTTTTCATTTTTATAAGTTGCTATGAACTGCTCAGAGAGTTTCAGCTACTGGGTGGTATGGGAACAAAATTGATGAACGTGACGACAACGTGAATAGTCCAGTGAGCTTCGTGGCTCAAGTGGGGACCTGAACCCGGAACACCCCACTCCTAGCCTGACACACGCTAACCATTACGCCACTTGAAATTCCACCCCCCGGAGAAGCTGCAGCAGCAGCGCACGTGAGATCCACGGAGGGCTGAAAGAAACCAAGGGACCCGGGTGGAAGAAAGGCGTGTGCGAAGACAGCCGCTTCCCCAGGGAGCAGTGGGGGGAGTCTTCCTGCGGGCACAGTTAGAAGGACTCCAGCAGGGCACTACCTTCGCAGTCTTCTGGAGGAACTGGTCTGGATCGGCGGCCTTGGGGGACTCTTCCTGCTTCGCATGGCGAGGGCTGCAAACCTCTGCATCGCTCCCTGCAGAACACACACAGAAAACACACACAGTACAGTTTTTGCAAAGGTCCTTTCCCTTACCTCAACCTTTTAACGTCTCTTTCTGGCAGGCCCAAGGGCCGGCTCTGAGCACTGGCCCAGACCGAAAAAAGCAAAAATGTATTTCAAAATTGCCGTGGAACAAACAGCGGCATTTCAATATCCCTCCAGGCCGCAATGGGGAACAGATATATGGTCAACTTCCATTGTGCACATCTGCTAAAATCAAAATAAACCCCAACATTTACAAGAACATCTATACCAGCCATAATAAACAAAATGGTGGAAAACACACTCTATTTATTAAATGCAAATAAAAGTGTTTGAATTTCCTGGCATCTCTTACGTTGGGGTCATTTCACTTTTCACATTACATAAATAGTCCCCTTTAAGGGCTCATTTTCATTAAAATATTTAATTTCCTTTAAAGAAAGTTATGCAAGGTTATAAAACACACATTCAGCCTAGAAACCAAAACCGCACCTTGCAAGGAGATAGCTGTTATTCTCCCAGCCGTTATTAAAAAAGGCTTATAAGTCATATATACTCCGAGGAAAGGGGGAGACACTCTTCCTTCAGATACCAGCAAGAAATAAACCAAGAAATGACAACAGTAGCAACAACGCACTACCAGGCAGCACAGTTGTTCTAAGGAAACCAGGCTGAGTATCCCAGCTTGAACAAGACCTCTTTTAAGACCATGCTGGATCTGCAAACCTCACTGCCAGGCTACACCTTAGAGGCGAAAACGGAAAAGGTCACTCTAGGGGAAAAGCACTGACCTGCGCCTGATGCTAGCAGGTAGCTAAGAGGCTAAGCTGAACGTCCCGTCCAGCTGTAGGCTGGTAACTTGAAGAGAAAGCCATTTTATCATTTCCAAGGGGGGCATCTTCCAGGAGCCAGCCAGCCTTCCCACCTGGGAGGCCCTCGCGACTATTGCCAGGGGCTGCTGGGAGTTGTAGTTCAAGCTGTTTGAGGGGGAGGGCAAGTGGGGGAAGGCTGAATTAAGTAATTCGATCTGCATGTTTAAGGCAAAGAAGTGACTGGCCATTTTTTACAAAGATGAGGAAGATGGGAAGGAAATGTTTTGGTGAGGAGTAGAGATTAGTAGGTGAGGAGATGTCAGAAAGTCACACGGGAAGCAGGGAGAGGCCCACGAAAGAGGACCGCTGGCATGGCGAGAGGCCCTGCTGGCCAGGGTGGCAGGCCCTCCTTCGTGTTTGCGCTCACACGTCCTTTCAGGAAAAGGATCCGACAGCACCTTCAACCACGCGATGCCCTCTAGATGTGCTGGAACTACCCAAGTTCCCAAGCGGCATGGCCACGGGCTCCTCGACTAGCCCTCCTTATCTTGGCCAGCAGCAGTGCATCACACAACACCCACCCGAAACTCTGAGCTACAACTGCAAGCCATTTCCGATTGTGAGTAGGGCAGTGGGGAGCCAAAGCGGGGGCAGCAAATGCCCAAGACGGGCTCAAGCCAGCACGGCTCCAGAGCCTCATTTTGAGCAATAAGCACTCCGGCGTGTGGGGAAAATATTTCCACTGCTGCACATGAGACCTGCTTGTTTAAGAGACCCGTTTAGGTTGTGAAAGCAGCTTCATTTGCTCCTGAGGCATTTCTGGCTTTCTCTCCACGATGCAGTGAGAAGAGGCACAGCCAGGCTGGGGATGGCCGGGGCAGTTCAGTACATCTAGTACCAACCTGGGAAAGGCTAGGTTGGCACCTACAGGTCTGTGGGTTCACCAAACCCCGGATGCTAAATTGCTCGGTCTCTATCTATTGTTCAAGAATGTAAGACGGTTCTCAGACTTACCCTGGACTCCTGCTGCTTTCGCACACGCCAGCTGGAAGGTTATTTATTTATTTTTCGATTTATATCCTGCCTTTTTCCTACAAAGGGCTCAAGGTAGCTTACATCATTCTCCTCCTCCATCTCATTCCCACAACAACAACCCTATGAGGTAGGTTGGGCTGAGAGGCTGTGACTGGCCCAAAGTCACCCAGTTGGCTCCATGGCTGAGCGGGGACTCGAACCCAGTTCGTCTGAGTCCCAGTCCCATGCTCTCAACCACGACACCACACTGGCCACTTCCCCATCAAACCCACAAACGAAGCCTTTCCATGCTCAATGCAAGAACCACAAGCTCAGCGCGCATACAAGCGCATCACTGCATCGACTTCCAGCAAGGGAAGGGGGCATGCCTGGAGCCGGGGAGCTTTGTCGCGAGGCTGAGATGGACGCCTGGCATGATCACAGCAGCCTGCAGGCAGAGCACACGTTGGCGCCCCCAGTGCCGATGCCGGGGGGCAACATCCTGGCAACCTGAGCAGCCATTCGGACCCCCCCCCCCCCCCCCCCCGGCCAGCCCCCCCCCCGCCCCGGGCCCCGAAGAAAGGACTCCAACCCGACTGCCCGCGTGCCTCCAGACCAGCCCCCAAATGGCACAGAGCCATCCTACTGCCAGGATGGAAAGAGAAGTGCTGTCAATCTGGGTGTTTGTTGAGGGACTGGCTCAGAACGTGACGCTGTGAAGGCGGTCGCTGGGACAAAAAGGCCGAGGACTGAATCAGCGTGAGATTACGAGGGCCGAACAGGGGAATCCACAGCTTTCCAGGCTTTCTGCTCTGCCCAGAGTTCCTCACCGAGGCACAAGAATTGCACTGATTCTTTTAGCAGAGAGAGGGAGAGCTTTCCCCTGCTTCTCCTTTCAGCCTTCCGACAAGTCATTTGAAGGGTCACCTGTCAGGTCACAAATCCACCGCATGGAAGTGAACTGACTCTTCACTTCATCCGCTTTTCAAATCCACCCTCCAGTTAACTTTAATTCTCTCCCCCACCCCACCTTCCTTCTCCCCTGCAGGCCTGAGCATGTAGGAAACCCAAACAAACTAGATAAATGATGAATTCACATGATTAGTATGAACAGTGCTGTTCATAACTGTCCATACAGGCACAGTCCCCCGACTCCTCCCTTCACTTCCCCCACACAACTCCCCTTCCCACTCTCAAAAACAGAAGGCCTTAAAGAAAAGGAACTGCTTGTGGCAGGATACTGGCAAACAGAAGGCTTTTCAGACGGCACCTGGGTGTTCTGCATGCACTTCCCCCAACCTGTTGCCCCCCAGATGTGTATGACTAAAATTCCCATCATCCCAGGCAGCGTGGCTTGTATTCCAGTGCAACATGAGCAAGAGAGGGCTGAGGCACCCCAGTCCAACGGCGTGGGTTTCCCATTTGAACAGCAGATTGGTCCTGCGTGACAGGAATGCAGGACTAGGCGGAATCTCGGTCTGACCTTGCATGGCTCTTCTTACGTTCCTACTTCTTAGGCTCAGTTCAGCAAATTAGGCAACGATTCCAATGTCCTAAATTGTGCCTTAAATTCTTAATGTTTTTCACCATAGTTTCATCTGTTCTCTTCCTCAAAACCGCTCATCCTTCAGATCTTGCAGCCAGATGGCATCAGAATCCCCTAGCTTTCAAAACTTTGGCACTTTGGTTTAAAAACCTCTCTCTCTAGCCCTCCTGCAGCTCCACCAGGCCTCCTGGGGTCACCAAAGCACACCTTCCTCCCATGAAAATTGGTTCCAATCAGGGCAGCACAAGATGTGAAGTGCCAAAGAAAGCAGGCAGTATCGACTTCTACAATTAAGTAGCAGACGATGCAAGCCAGCCTTCCCCAACCTGGTGTCTTCCAGAAATGCTGGACCACAATTCCCATAATTCCCAGTCATCACTGGCCATACTGGCTGGGAATTGTGGGAGCTGCAGTCCAACACCACCACCCTGGAGAAGGCTGCTGTGGGCACGAGGCAGGGAAAACGTTTCACAAAAGTGGGAGACAGAAAGCTGAGAAAGATGGATCATTGGGCTGTTCTCACAGAAAGGAACCAAATGTGTGTTTGCTGGAGCCCAAGTTCAACAGAGCCTGGCAGGCAGGGGATAATCATGTGACGTGACTAATGAGGACCAACATGCAAAAGAGTTCAGAGCAGCACCAGTGCAGGAAAGCAAATCACAGAGACGAGGGGAGACCAGAAGGAATCCTGGACAGCTGAACTTAGGAGGTGAAGTGTTGGGAGGAGCAGAGAAAAGAAGTTTGCTGCCATATGCCAAACCAGAAATAAACTATGCCGAACCTTTGCTGTCGTGGTTATCCGGTGACCATTCAGTATTTCCACCCTGGGCAGCGCTATGTTTGCAGTGGGAGATTTACTATGTTAGCTTGGGCAGGGCTTGCTCAGCTTATCTTACAGTGCAAACACCCTTCAACAGCTCCAGCCCAGCAAAACGGTGCTTTAATCCCCTTGTTTCCCTTTCGGGTGATTACCTGACAAAACCAAAAATTGTTATAGCTTTGCTGAAAAGAAAATTAGGCACTAATGGCAAGAAACCTCTCCAATTAGTTCTGTTCTTACCAGCAAATTAGATCCAGCGTTTGCAGCGCTAGCGCCCCCTGAGACTGTTCGGAGGCCCAGAGGCTCGGTTTAGCCAGCAGTCCCTCCGCCTGGTCTATGATGCCGTTTTCTTTTTCTTTCTTTCTTGAAAGTTCCTTGCACAAATTAGATTAACCAGGACAGCTGAAGTGGCCAAAGAAGGCCCTTAAAGCCATCAGATTAAAACACTTATTAGCCATGACAGATCCAAAGTTATTTTTTCCAGGCTTGCAGCGGCCACTGTGGAAATTTGCAGCTCCCTCCAAGAAGAGCACAATTAAACGTTAGCAATTCCCACTTGCAAGTGAGAATATATTGTGTTTTCTAATCCCTTCAACAAACACGCATTCATGCACACCAGCAAACCGAACAGGGGAAAGATGCATCTTCCACGGTGGAACGAAACTGGGCTGTTGGAAATGCTGGCGGGAGCAAAGCTTGTGTTTGCACAAGATTCAGGCTGCTTTCTGATGCTGTAGCTGGGGCTGTTAATGTCCACGAACAGAAAAAATCCAGCCAGGTCCCAAGGAGAGTTAAAAGC